ATTTGGATGTCAAAAATGTTAGAGATTAAAGCTAGGAAGGTACCTTAGAGATTAGAAGCTTTAATTTTGAGTTTTGATCCCTTAAACTTGGATTAGGAGAGAGGTGGGTAATGTTTAATGATAATTTGGCCAAAGGCTTCAAATGAAGTCCTAAACACGTTTATATAGTGTTTATGTTTTGGACACGGTGAAATTCTACCCGATACCGGCGTTAGACGGAGTATTTGGTCGTACCCGATTGAGTTATCGTAACCCGATACGGTAAAATTCTAGAAATATTCCGATCACTAAAGTTGGGTGTTAAAATGATTTCTAGAGGTATTAAGACACCCATTAAGTCATTTTAAATGTGTCCTAGTTAATGACTCAATTAAACGGAAGATCGGAAATCGGAAATCAGAACGACGATCGGTTGCACGAAAGAGTTACATTAAAATGAAGCGGAAATTTCGGGTTGTTACATATTTGTCACACCCTCGAACCAAATGGCGGAAATGTCTGAGGGCTGTTGTGACTTAATTGAATACCATCACAGTGAATATACGTGAAACTTTACATCATTCATCACCATGGATTGGAATAGTACAACTTGTAGTGTTTACATTTAGTACATTGTTTCAAAACATTACATTCCCAAAAAGTAGATTGTTCGATACTAGTTAAACAAACAACAAGATATCACTAAGTACATTTTTCCCTTCGATTTACCTGTTACCTGAGAATACAAGCATTTTGAAAAACGTCAACATATGAAATGTTGGTGAGTTCATAAGTAATGTTTGAAATATAATGTTTTGTATTGTCTTGAAAACCACCAGAAAATCCGATATTTCCTGAAAAGAGTATTGTATAAAAAGTGTGAAGATCCGTAAGTATGCTTGTTTGTTTCTATAAATGTAAAAAGAATTGTTATACTTGGTATGGATCTTGTAGGTGTATGAATTCAAAACCCTAGGAAAATCCGATGTTTTCCTAATACTTTGAATTACGCGTTTTATATTTTGTTGTACCGTTGCGACGTGTGTATTTGATGATTCAAGGTGACATTGGATTAATTATGGATTGTGAATTGTTATAAACACGCGTTAATGAAACGACTAGTTTACCACTATACAAACGATCCCTTAGGCGTTGTCCGTATTATTCACTTAATCCAACCACCCTGAATTCTCATAGCCCCACAACCGAGGAGAAAAGAGGGTACGAAGCCCCCATATTTCCATAAGTCGTTCAAGGCTATCGTGAATGTGAAGGGCCCTTGGCCCGACTCGCATTTGTGAATTCTCAACTTTACTAGCAGTACCAAAGGACCCTTGGGGCCCAACAACACAGAAGCCATTGAAAGTTCTTTTACACGGAATTAGGTCATATAAGACCCAACAACATGTAAGCGAGTTTCCTTCGGGCGTAAAGATCATGGCATTGGGCTAGCTAGGCCCAACAAGCACGATCTGAAACTTTCGGGCCTAAAATGGTTTATTGACGTCTGTTTTATTCCCACGTGTGTACTGACTTCCTGAAATTTCCGCGTGTGTATTGAAGTATCGTCGTATTATTATTTTCAGATTCGTTGTTGATTCGAGACCGAATCAGTTCGTTTGGTAACGATTTTGGTGTTGTAGGTGTATTATATTTCGCCGGTAGTCATGGTACTAGTATTTTATCATAACAGATTTATTGTTTAAAAACACTAGAATTTTTCTTTTTGCAACCCCTTTCTTTTGGATAAATTACAATTTTGGCCCTTTGTATAATAAAATTTCCATCTTAGTCCTTAAACCATTTTTCTTGACACTTTAGTGTCAAAACTTGTAGAAAAGGTATCTTTCAGCTCAAATTTATTTGAAAAACAGTTTTAGTCCCTCAAAATGATGTTTTCTCGGCTGAAACACAATTTTTCGCAATGTTTACACTTTTGGCCCACAATAGAAGATTTTTGCATCTTTGGTCCTTTTTATATGTGAAAAGCATTTTTAACCCTTGAAATGGACTTGGAGCACTAGTAGTCCCCTGTTTTACAGAAAAATACAGTTTCAGCCCCTCTACTTTGAAAATCACGCATATTGGGCCTTATTGGGCCGAAATGTTCATTTTTGGTCCATTATGCTTAAAATTTGACCTTTTAATCCCTCAAAAGAGTATATTTCCAGAAAATACATTGTTGAAACTGTTTTGACTCATTTCAACCTTCAAAATTCGTATATTGTCATTTTCGGCCCTTTAATTTGATATTTTTAACATTTTGAGTGCAAAAATGGATTTTTAACCCAAAGATGTTCACATTAACAAACTTGGTTATTTTTATAGAAATGATTTGTATGTAATAATATAATTTATACTAGATTCATACAACTTAATGTAATTCTCAGTTTTAAGGACTTTTTGACTAGATCCAACACCACAATCACATAAGAACATATGCATACACATAGAAATCACACAAAGCATACATATACTCATAGATCTACACATTTGCTTGTATTCCCCCCCCCCCCAAAAAAAAACTTATAAAACTGAAAAATAGGAGGTATGAAGCTCACCTTGAGTTGTAGTTTCGGTTTTGAAGAGAGATAAGAAGAAAATTTCGATCCTAGCAAGTCTTCTTGGTAGATTTCGAGTGTAGGGAGGTTCTAGGAGAGTGATCAAAACTTTTATATGGATTAGAAGGAGATTTTGATAAACCAAATTTCCTAAATCATACATCCAAACTTGATCTTACCTTAGGTGAAGAATTTGTGGAGATATCCTCTTCAAAGCTTCTTAGATCTCGAATTTTTGGAGAAGAAAGGAGAGAGTTTCTTGAGAGAAAAATAAGTGAATTGTGTGTGTGTGTGCTTGAGTTCGGGCGAGAGTAAGAAGTGAGAGAGAGAAAAAGAATTAGCTAGTCATGGAAGTATGTGAGTGCATGAATGTTTGACTTTCCTTGCATGGAAGTCCCTTGAGTAATGGTGAGGTGGCACTCACAAAGTCAACTCTCTATCTCTTGGGCTTGGGCCGAGAATGGGGAGAGTGAGAGGAGGTTTTTGGGCTTTTTGCTCCTAAACCCATATTATAGTTAGGTTGGATGATTATTGGTGCTATAACAATATAAATGTGATTTTTATGCTTTATTAGGCTTGCTTAGGTTAATTATGGTCCAAAATAGTTCATAATATTTGATTTATTTCACTCTAGGCCAAATATGGACCAAAATAGTGAAATAATTGGAACTGGGTCCAATTAGAGCCCATTTAAGGGTTCTAAGCCCAAGATAGTTAAATTGGAAGTTTATTCGTCCATTGGGCCCAATAAGAAAGTCCTAGTCCAAAATGGACCTAAACAAGAACTTCTAGGGTCTCCAATTGCTTGTTGACTATTTGTAGTGCTTGTATGAAGTGTTTGATTGAAAATTTGTTGTTATAGAGTAATTATCATGCATGCTTTCATGTCTTTGATTCATAATTCTTACTTAAGTGTTGTAGTTACAAGGCACAAAATTTCTAGTTGTGACATCATCCCCCCGTTAGAGGGAATTTCGTCCCGAAATTTTGTTTGATAGCTAGATTTGAGAATCCTAGAATAGGTGAGGGTACCTTTGCTTCATTTGATCTTCGCGTTCCCACGTGAGTTCTAGCCTACGCTTCGCGTTCCACCGTACTTTCATGATCGGGATGCGACTTTGCTTAGTATGTTTCACCTCCTTGTCCATTATTTCAACCGGTTCTTCAACGAACACGAGATCCTCATTGATTTCAATCTCGTCAAGGGGAATAACGAGTGTTTCATCCGATAGACACTTCTTTAGATCAGAGACATGGAACACGCGGTGTACACCATTTAGCTTTGCGGGTAGTTGCATTTTATATGCCACTGGACCTATTCGGGCGACGATTTCGAAAGGTCCAATGTATCGTGGGTTCAGTTTTCCCTGTTTCCCGAAACGAGTGACTCCTTTCCAAGGTGAGACTTTTAACAGTACTCGATCCCCGACCTAGAATTCTAAGGGCTTTCGCCATTTATCGGCGTAGCTCTTTTGTCGGTCGCGCGATGCTTGTAATAGAGCTCTGATTTGAACGATCTTTTCCGTGGTTTCACGAATGATCTCTGGTCCCGTTAGCACCTTGTCCGATGCGAGTGGTTTTGCTAGTTGGGTGTCGCCCACCTCAGCCCAACATAACGGTGATCTACACTTACGTCCGTATAGTGCTTCGAAAGGAGCGACCTTGATGCTCGAGTGATAACTGTTATTATACGAAAATTCGACTAAAGCTAAGTAGGTATCCCAAGACTTCCCAAAGTCTATCACACATGTGCGAAGCATGTCTTCGAGCATTTGGATGGTTCGTTCTCTTTGACCACCTGTTTGTAGGTGGTAAGCGGTGCTCATGTCGAGATGGGTTCCAAGTGCTTTCTGGAGTGATTTCCAAAATCGTGAGGTGAACCTACTGTCTCTATCCGAGATGATAGACATTGGTACTCCGTGAAGTCTCACGACTTCTCGAATGTATAAACGTGTCAGTCTCTCCATCTTGTAGGATTCTTTTATTGGCAGGAAATGGGCAGATTTCGTCAGTCGGTCGACTATTACCCATATGGTGTCTAGTCCATCCGACGTCTTTGGTAGCTTGGTCACGAAATCCACAGAAATCTCTTCCCATTTTCACTTAGGGATTACCGGTTGCTGTAATAATCCTGAGGGCTTCTGGTACTCCACCTTTACCATAGCACAAGTAAGGCACTTACCAACCACTACAAGAAAAAGGGGTATCAGAGACTGACATATTCAGTCTTAGATGGTTAATAATCAATCTCTAATGAGAATCCGGGATTGATTTCGCTAGTCCTAAGCTAGTCCTAGAAACCAAGTCCTAGATAGTGTTTTTTTTAATATCTGGGACTGAAAATTAGTGCTTATGTTTATGCGGTTGATAAGAGATGTATATCTTCCTTTTCATAGATAGTGTTTTTTTAACAATCTTACTTTTCATATCTTCTTCATCTTTTGAGGCTAATTGAGATGTTTATGCGGTTGATAAGAGATGTATATCTTTTTTCCTCATAACAGGTCCACTTGAAGCCTCCCATCCAGATTGTAATGTTTTATGTTTGGCACAAATAGTTTTAATGACTTTTTTCTCTATGTCGTATTCCATTTCTTGAGTAATGCTTGTTCCCACCGAAACTAATTTGGCACATTCTTCCTCTTTGAGTTGGAGAATATTTTCCTAATACAACATGAAAACATATCATAATAACTTATAACACCAATATCAATATATTATAACTATAAATAAATATTAGTCAAGAAATCATTCTTACGTATTGAATGCGTGACTCATCATTTATCCATTTCTTTATAGGATCAAAATGCAACTTATGATATAACTCGATTGGGCTGGGGGGGGGGGGGGCATTTGAGTCTCTTTATTTGTCTGCAATAAAAAAAATTAATATAAGTAAAGGTAAAAAATAATTTTTCTTGAATATATTAATTTAAATATGAATTAATTTGATAGTTTACCATGGCAAATTTGTGATTTGCTATCGATCTTGAGCCTCCTCTACTTGGAATAACAAGTTTTCCCCGATTATGTTTCATTTGTTCAGCATATTGCTACAAAATATGAACTATACGTGGTTAATAATATATAAATAAGATTTCATTACATAAATTGAATGTGTATGTGCAAGATTGAGAGAATTTTGTTATAGGTGTATATTATTGTATATTTGACAGCGCATGTTTTATAATACTACAAGAAATAAAATAAGAATTCTAAGATGAAATTATAAGGTTTATAGAATTTAATAATTACCTTTGCTTTATTTGATTCCGAATAATCGCACAAATAACCCCAATCTTCTTCGCTACGACAATCTGACTTCATTTTACATCTTGCAAATTGTGGATCTGTCATTCCTCCATTTTTCTTCCAATAATCTTTGAAAATATTTCGTGTGCGTTTCCATTGCCTCCGCATTTGTTCATCTACATACTCCATTAGAACTTTATCTTCGTGCAGCAATTCAAATTTTTCCTACATTTAATACAAAAATTAAAATTGAACATTATTAATTAAATTTTAATAATAAATTACTTCCATTTATGAATTTTAAATTTTAACAAAAAAATGAATAGATTTAGGAAAAGGATATGTAACTTACATGCAATCTGTTAATCATTTCTTCTTTATTTTCTTTTGCTACTTTCTCCCATGTATGGAATTCCATTTCACAAAAGCTCCGCATCACAATTCCAACCTCCGTTGCAAAAGATATTGTTGAATGCCCAATGAATTTCTTTGTATAGGTATCTCTTGTCAATGTAATTCGAGCACCAGGTTGTTTTTCCAAAATCTGTGATGCCTTTTTATTAATATTAGGGCCTCACCTCCGCCTCTGTGGTTGATCTACACGTCAGAAAGTACACATCAACTAATGCATAATCTGTAATGTTATAAATAAAAGAATAAATTGTCTACTATTACTTGGAATGACTTCATCTGTGGCTAACGAAGCCAGTTGAGTATTTTCTCTAGAACCACTCCCTCCTATTTTTTTAGTCACGTAAGTGTGTAAATATATAAACATAAGTGGAAAGAAAGAAAGAAATACGGAAATCACAGCTAGCCAGAGACATAAAAACAACAAACGGAGGTGAAATAGGTGAAGAACAAAACAGGGGAAAAATTTTCTGGGAAAATTTTCTGTCCAATTTTTGTTGAGAAAAATATGAATAAAACTTAATTAAAACATCATAAATACATTTACAGTTCATACTAAACCAAAAAAAAACCCAATCTAACAAAAAAAAACTAAAAATACGATGGTTTTTCCCAAAATACCCCTGGGTGAAACCTGTCCTAGATTTTGATTATTCCAACAGATGCCATGAAAGGATGTAACAGTTCTATGTTTATGATGTGAGGATAGATAGAGACAAAGAGATATAGATTAAACTAAAGGAGATAATTAATAAAACAAACAAGGATTTGGTTTTCTTTCTGGTTTTCTTCTTTGGCAATCACAGTGGAATTATTGTTATTTTGTATAAGAAAGCATGGGTTTATATGCATGGTCTGATGATCTTTAAAAACTAAAAAAAGGATGCAAAAGAAAACATAGCAATGGCTTTTATAAAATAAAAAAGAAAATGATATTGTAATCCATCTTCACTAAATTGTGTTAAGCATGGGTGTATATCCATGGTTTGATGATCTTTACCTGTAGTGTCGGATTTGGGAAAAGAATTCGTATTTTGGCAAACTACTGGCTCAGTTGTGTTACAGACAGTTCCTTCACCAACAAGCAAATTTGATGTTGATTGAGGATTTTTTCTCCGATCACTTCCTCCTGTAGGAATTAGAAAGTACATTTCCCGAACCCGAATAAAAGAAAATAGAATTACATAACCGAATAACACCCATACATTGTGTAAGTTGTTGATAAGGTTGTAAAAAGTACATTGTCCAAAATTTCAGATTTGAAGTTAAAAACACAAATCAGGTCAAAAACATAAATCTGAAATCCATTACATTTAAATTTTTCTTTAACTCAACTTTTAGTAAACAGTAAAAACATATAAGGTTTACCTGTTGCATCAATGGATGTCATAGCACGTTTACGTCGACGAAGCATACACAATTTTGGATCGAGTTCACCTTCACTTCCTTCACCTGATGATGTGACTGAAATTTGTCGAGGTTCTTTTCTTACATGCTTAGTACCTTCGAGATTAACAATTGTCATCATCACCAGAAATATCCACATTTTATCTGCAAGGGATGTGATTTATAGACAAGTTAGTCAGGAGTACAGTTATTTATATTCATCGTCTAAAAGTTTTAAATATTAACAGATTAAAAACACACCAATGAAGTAGAACTATAGTACAATTATCCATAATCATAGTAAATAAGTTTAAAATATCTAACTAATTACAAAACACACCAACAAAGTAGAAAAAGATTACAATTATTCATATTCATCGTCTGAATCATCAAATAGGGCTACATTTGTTTCATTGCTATCATCTAAACCCTCTAAATCTTCAGTTTCCTCACTAATTTCTTTGGGGATAGTATCATCATCAATAAAATCCTCTAAATTGTCTTCAAAAGCTTCAACATCAACAATTTCCACAAACTCTTCTTCACCATCCTCTACATGAAACTCGAAATTTTCACAATCTGATGTTTGAAAGGGGGTTGTGTCCGACGATGTTCCTACATGTTCAAACATATCCTGTACATCCTCATTATCCAGAATATCCCATAAATGCCTATGTGTGCTTCTTTCTATGATTTTCCAGCCCGAGTCACGCGTGGGATCGTTTATATAGAAAACTTGTTTTGCTTGATTTGCCAACACAAAAGGATCTTCATCATAAGCTTTTTTGGTTGTATCTATAGATATGAAATGAGGTTCAAACATCACGTGCTTCCTTTTACGGTCGGTATGAAACCAAATGCATTTAAATAAAATAACTCGGTATCCTTTTATGAATGAAAATTCAAGGACTTCATTAACATATCCATAATAATCTTCTTCAACACCATTGTGAATTCCTACAGCTGTGACTCCACAATTTTGAGTCCTCCTATGATCATCTCGTGACTTAACAATAAATTTTACTCCATTTACTATGTATCCACTAGGTGATATAACTCGATTATCTGGACCACGAGATAGTGCATATAACTCTTCGTTGATTTCCAATGAATTTTGCTCATACATTGCTCCTATCTGTTCACCATTTCCAAAAAAAGTAAGGGTAGGTTGATTGTTCTGACATGAGAAAATGATATAAATTATGTTATAGTAACATTACCCGTGATGAAAACCAAGATGGAAATGTAGATTGTTGTAATTCACTTAAATCTAGGGCTCCTTGATGTTGTCTTTCCAAGAAATTCAAGTGCTCACTGTCAAGTGCAAGTAAGCTTTAGCATAGGTGGCAATATCCGCCTTCATGTTAGGCCACCAATAGTGTTGTTTAATATCCAAATACATCTTTTCTGAGCCGGGATGGATCGAGTATCGCGTCTTGTGAGCTTCATTCATGACTACCTCCCTAAATCCTCCGAGTTTAGGGACCCAAATACGGTTCATGAAGTAGTATACTCCGTCCTCTTTTACCTCTAGATTCTTCTCCATTCCACGTAATGTTTCGCTTGCTCTATTTTCCGTCTTCATGGCCTCTGACTGGGCTACCCCAATCTGAGTGGTTAAGTGGGATTGGATGGTTATTGAGAGAGTTTTCGCACGACGATTAGAGTACTCCTTCCGGCTCAATGCATCAGCTACCACGTTGGCCTTGCCCGGGTGATACTTGATTTCACACTCATAATCGTTTAATAATTTGACCCATCTTCGTTGCCTCATATTCAGGTCTTTTTGATTGAAGATATGCTAGAGACTTTTGTGGTCCGCGAAGATGGTGCACTTCGTACCATAAAGGTAATGCCTCCAAATCTTCAGAGCAAAGAGCATGGCTCCCAATTCCAGATCATGGGTTATATAATTCACTTCGTGCGTCTTCAGTTGGCAGGATGCGTAAGCTATTACTCTTCCACGTTGCATGAGAATGCAACCTAAACCCTGATTTGACGCATCACAGTAAACCACGAAATCTTCTGTTCCCTCCGGTAGAGAAAGTATCGGGGCACTACAAAGAGCTTGTTTCAGGGTTCAGAATGCAACTTCTTATTTGTCCGTCCATTTGAATGGCACGCCCTTTTGTGTATGTGAGGTAAGTGGCTTGGCGATCTAGGACAAGTCTTGAATGAATCTCCTATAGTAGCCTGCTAGACCTAAAAATTGACGGATATCCGTGGGTGTTGTCGGGACTGCCCATCCTTCAACAACTTTGACCGTAGAGGGATCCACATGGATTCCATCTTGGCTAACAACATGACCTACAAAATTCACTCTACGGAGCCAGAACTCACACTTGGAGAGTTTTGCGTACAGCTTTTCCGATGGCAGAGTTTCTAGAATTTGTCGAAGATGTTGACCATACTCGTCCTCACTTCGGGAATAGACGAGAATGTCATCAATGAAGACAATGACAAAGTTGTCGAGGAATGGTCGACAGATTCGGTTCATCAGATCCATAAATGCGGTAGGGGCATTTGTTAGACCAAATGGCATTACGACAAATTCATAATGTCCGTAATGACTTCGGAAAGCGGTTTTTGGAATATCGACTTCCCAGACTTTGAGTTGATGGTATCCGGACCGTAGATCTATCTTAGAAAAGTAACTAGCTCCTTGGAGCTGGTCAAATAGATCGTCGATTCATGGGATTGGATAGCGATTTTTGACAGTGAGTTTAATTAACTCTCTGTAATCGATGCACATCCTAAAAGATCCGTCCTTCTTTTTGAAAAATAGGACCGGAGCTCCCCACGGCGAGTAACTAGGTCGGATGAATCCCTTGTCCAGGAGCTCGCTGATTTGACTGGACAATTCCTGCATTTTTGTAGGAGCTAGCCGGTAGGGAGATTTAGCGAGAGAGGTTGCCCCTGGAACGAGGTCAATTCGGAACTCAACTTGTCTCTCTAGGGGTACTCCAGGAGGATCTTCAGGAAATACGTCTGGGAATTCACGTGCTACTGGAATATCACGAATGTTAGTCTCTTCCTTGGTTTTATCTACTATGTGAGCCAGAAATGTCAAATCATTCTTTCGTAGATGTTTCTGTGCCTGGACGCACGAGATGATGCGGAGCTTCGTGCGGGGTTTGTGTCCGTAAATAACTAGGGTTTCGTGATTGGGAAGATGAAGGCGAACGGCCTTCTTGTGACACATAATTTCAGCATTGTGGGGGCTTGACCAATCCATGCCAATAATCACATCGAAACTCCTAATGGAAACATGCATCAAGTCTATTTGAAAGACGTGTTGATTTAGAGTTAGGGTACATCCGATGTAGATTTCCCCAATGGATTCGGTTTTTCCATTGGCCATTTCCACTGTAAGCGTTTCATTGAGCTTTTGGGGTTGTTGTCTTAACAAATGCTTAAACTTATTGCTCACAAAACTTCGCTCCACTCCGGTGTCAAATAGGATGTATGCATATGTGTAGTTTAGGGGAAACGTACCGGTAACAACAGTGGGATCCTGAATTGCTTCCCCCTGACCCATAGTCAGCAGTCTTCCGGTTCCTCCATTTCTGGGATTGTTGTTGTTGGGGCAGTTTCGAAGTAAATTCCCAGTCCTTCCACAACCATAGAAGGTGTGGCTAGGTCCGACATTGTTGCCGCCAGCGTTGGTGTTGTTGTTGTTGCGGTTGTTGTTGTTGTTGCCTTCCTGTTGTTGATTCTAAAGAGGGTAAGCCTTGCAGTACCTTGCAGTGTGTCCCTTCCGATTGCAACTGGTGCACTGTATCTCCTTGCATTCTCCATTGTGATGGAATCCACATTTGTTGCACTTGGGAAGATTACCGGAATAAGGTCTAGGAACATTTGGAGCAGTTGAGGCTGGAGCATGTGGTGTAGTTCGAACTTCCACGGTGGCAACATTGATCGCCACTGACTACTGCTTCTTGGAAGTCTTGGAGCCTTGACGCCCCTTTCTTTTGTTGTTCTTCCCCTTCTTTCCATCACATTCCTTCTTGGCCTCAGTCTCCGCTGCCTTGTCACCCTTCTTGTTGTTGTGGTCATACAGCTTCTTCGCCAATCTCTTAGCATTGTCGAAAGTTTCAGGATCTGCAACTATCACGTTTCCTTGGATCGGAGAGGTTAGTCCCCAGATGAATCGCTCGATCATCTTTCCATCCGAGGTGATCATGCCCGGACATAACAAAGATAGTTCACTAAATCTTGCTATATAGGCATCGATATCAGTGAGGTTCCACAGTTCTTGTTCCATTTTCTAAATCTCACAACGAGGGCAGTACTCAGCCATCAGCATTTCTTTCATTTCTATCCACGACATGGAGTTGGCTACAGGAAGTGTCATGGCTTCCACGTATCTGTTCTACCAGGTGAGCGCTTGATCAACAAAAGTGCAGGCTGCAAACTTCACCTTCATCCCCTCGGGACAATCGCATATCTCGAATACCCATTCCACCTTCTCGATCCATCGCTTTAGGGTGATCACTCCTCCAGTACCATTAAAGGTTCATGGTTTGGCGTTTGCGAAGTCCTTGTAGGTAGACGTTTTCGTGGGTCCTTGATTCATTCCGTTGTTCGAACTCCCGGCCCCTTGCCCGTTGCCTCCTTTGTTGCTCCCTTGGTGAATTTGTGCCATAGCTGCGGTGACCGCAGTAGATATGGCCGCATGGAATGCAGTGGAGTCTGCTTCGGGTGGGGTTGGTCCAGGGTTTCCGCGAGTAGGTCGGTGAGGCATCTTTCTGTCATGAAACGGAAAGATGTTGAGTGTATGTGGTTTCTGTGAGGTTGTGATCCTACTGACTAGGTGCGTGGTACGAACTTAAACACTTCTACCATTTAGCATACAATCATAGATTCTCAACACATAGCAATTTGTAGTGTCATAATAAAACACGCAAACGTTCATTAATATTATCCGCATTTAATACGTGAAAATATTGCTCGTGAGAGCATACGTGAGTGACACTAGTTCGACAGCATAACGACTCTATGCGTAGTGTAGTCACTTAGACATAGAGTCGAGGTACATAGCATAGTTCCTAATGATCTAGTAAGATAAGTCTACCCCTTGGTACCACTAAGAACAGTCCTGAATTAACCGGGATACTAGCATTATCTTGTTTGGTTCGGCGTTATATTCTTATTCCTAAT